TCGCAAACTCTCAAAAACAAACACAAACAGAAGTTAACTACATTTAATTATACCACTTGATTCATTCCACACACGTCCACTGACACAAAGCCGTTTAAATTTTGAATTGAAAAGTGTAAACCGGTCTCTAATCAAAACTGTTTTATTATCATAACATAAAGAGAGTGGAGACGGCTGAAGTCTTTCCTTGTATGAATTGTCTTCATGCATTGTAAAATCTAAGAAAATCAAGCATTAAAAAACAAACATTTGCTTCTCTTATCTTCTCACATTTGTGGATTTGCCACTTTATTGTTTTACTTCATTGTAAATTAAACATCTTTGTATTTTTGTTACTTTTGTTGTATTTGGTTATGTATAACTAAAATACCTTTGACCCACACTTTGTGTAACTTCTAATCTAGTTTTAATAAATTTTTTGAAAGTGAGTTTTTAAAACATTAAAATATCTTTATCTGTGATCTTTCCAGGTGACATCATCCCTCCCTCAGCTGTGCTCGTGTTTGACATTCACGTCATCGACTTTCACAACCCCAACGACACAGTGGACATCCAGGTCACCCACAAACCCGAAGTGTGTAACGACACCACGGCGGAGAACGACCTCGTCCGCTACAACTACAACTGCTCCCTGATGGACGGCACGCTGCTCTTTTCCTCGTGAGTCAGGCAGACGCACTCTCAGCTGCAGCGTTAACACCACATGTCCACTTTCATTGACAAATGCATAATCTATCTTCAGACACACCTATGACAACCTTCAGGACGCGATGCTGGGCTCAGACAAAGTGATTGACGGGCTGGACAGCGGTTTGCGCGGCATGTGTGTGGGGGAGAGGAGGGTGGTGACGGTGCCCCCTCACCTCGGCCACGGAGAAAAAGGAGGTGAGACTAAGCCCTCGTGACAACCGAGCACACACACACACACTGTACTTTTTTTTTTGAGCAGTACAGTATGAGATGTGTGAACAAGCTACACACACACACACACACTCTCTCTCTCTTCATGAAGGTAAAAATGAAAGCCAAACTTTAACCGTGTCTTTCGTACTTTTCGTCTGTCAGCCACTGGTGTGCCGGGCAGCGCTGTGCTGGTCTTTGAAATTGAGCTGGTGAGCTTCGAGAAGGGCGTTCCCCCTGGTTACCTGTTCGTGTGGCTCGGGCAGACTCCTACAAACCTGTTCGAAGCTCTGGACATCAACAAGAATGAGGAGGTTCCACAGGAGGAGGTAGGCAGCACCCGAGAGTGTGATCACCAAAGAACGTCCTTACTTTGGTGACATCTGGTGGTGGTTTCAGCAATGACATGGGGCTTTTTTTCATTGTCTTACATTTATTGTCGTAAATTTA